AACTAAAGGGTTTAAACCTTTGAAAAATGGGTTACCATACATGAGTGATTCAAATGTGCATGTAAGGGAAACAATATACCTCGGGGGAATGACTTCCAAAGGTTTTATGTTTGCTTGAAAGCATGTAAGGAAAATTTTGTCATTTGCAGACCCATCATCTGTTTAGATGATTGTTTTTTGAAATGTCATTATAAGGGAAAACTGCTTACTACTGTTGGAATGGACCCAAATGAGCAAATGTTACCCCTTGGTATGCAGTAGTTAAAGTCGAGAACAAAGACAATTGGACGTGATTTTTGCACTTATTGGTTGATGACCTTGGGGGTAATGAAGTGTGTGGGGTGTGCACGTGGATGTCTGACCAACAAAAGGTACATGTACTACTTATATTATTTTATTCTTCATGCTTTGTAAATGATGTATGTTTGATTGCTAAATTGATGTGGACAGGGGTTGGTGCCAACTATTCAGGAGCTTTTGCCTGAGGCAGAACAAAGATTCTGCATCAGGCACCTCTATGCAAACTTTAGGAAAATGTTTTCTGGACAGATATTGAAGAGTCTAATATGAAGGGCTGCCACAAGCACGTACCCTCAGGCTTGGGAGAGAGAAACGTTGAATATGAGTAGTCGATGAAGAAGCATATAAATATCTCATAGTCATTCCCCTGAGGTACATTGTTTCTCTTACATGCACATTTGAATCACTCATGTATGGTAACCCATTTTCCAAATTTTTATGCAACAGGTATGATCTCACAAGTCAAGCAATTTGTGATACCCTAGATAACAATATCAGTGAAGGTTTCAAAAGTGTTATTGTTCATATAAGAGCAAAACTCATTATCACCATGCTGAAGGATATCACAATGTTTATGATGAAACGATGTGCCACCAACAGAACGAAGGTGGCATCTGTGGATTTCCCTGTCTGTCGAAAGATAAAAAATAGACTTCTAAAGGAATCTAATTTATCAACATATTGGATCCCAAGGTAATATTGTCATTTATGTTCATATACAATTCTCATTTATGTTCATGTTCCTTGTTCATTCACCATTTAAGAGAAAGTTGCCTAGGAGGCCAAAGAAAAAAATAATGTTGGAGCCATAGGAGCTAACTAAGGATGGAACCCAAATGAGTGTTAGTAGGCACAAAAAGAAATGTAGCATCTATCGTGAAGTGGGGCACAACAAAAAACAATGTCCTTTACGTCGAGACATCATAGAACCAACACAACCAACATAACCATCACAACCACAAATTACCCAACCCATCATAGAACCAACAAAAACCTACACAACCATCGCAGCCACAAACTACACAACCCCTTGTACCATTATAGCCACCAAGTCTTCAATGTCCTCCCCTAAGCCCCTCTAACATCACAGCCACCATGTCCCTAATCCCCTCACCCACCACAACCAACTCAAGAATTCATCCTAGATTTAACTCCACCAATGACAAGAAAAAACTTAGATGTTAGAAGAAAAGCTCTTAGATGTCAATTTATTTACTTTCATATTAAGCACTTTAATTACGTACTTTGATGGTGATGTCTGTTTTATCAACTTTAATTAAATACTTTCTTAGTCTATATGTACTCATATTAAGCACTTACATTAAATGTACTGATATTATGTGATTATATTTTGTTAGGTATCCTTCATATAAATCATAGTCAAATACATTAGGAAACACATTGCACGTTTTTTCATGAAAAAGAGAACCACATTTCACATTTTTAAACCATAGGGGGACTAAAACAAACATTCTCGCACGAAACCAGATTGCTCATTTCAACTCATTACAACAGAAACTAATATAACCATAGATGGGACAATCATGAAGAGTTTTCAAAGTGACAATAAACATAAAAAGGAATATAATAGGTTTCATTGGCTTGTATTTGCCTCTTTTGCTTTCTTTTCGTTATTTCTAAGTGAAGAAACGGTTATAAACTTTTCTTTTTCTTTTAGTACAAGCAATGTGAGACTTCACATAGCTTGGACTTAAAAGAAAAGAAGAGTAGATAGATTTTCATAGCTTGTAGTGCAAGTAGTCTTAGCTAATTTTCGTTTTTGAACTCTAGGAGTGCTAGGAAGCTTATAAACTCTTTTGGAATAAGAGAATTAAGCAATGTGGGACTAAGAAATACCTAGGGACGCTGCTGGTCAAACCTTGGAGCATTCAAGTCCCACATATCTTGAAAACTCTTCACCAAAGTCATTCAAAAGCTATATAAGAAACCTAGAGGGTCTCCTTTGTACTTACCTTTTTGAATGAATGAAATTTTAAGAGTGATTTGCAACTTTGCATTTCTTCTTAGAGATAGTGATTTGTCTCGTAGTAAATTTTGAGGATCTTATCTTGGGCAAATCAAGTGGCGGTCCAATTCTTCGACACTTATCTTGGAATCCTTTTCAAGTGGCGTGTCTACAACACATAAGTTTTCCCTCTCTTCTCTTTTATTCGTTTTTAATTCCTTCCATTCTTTAACTGTCATTAGCATAACTTCTCTCTAAGCATGCACTTTCGAATCATGTGGTATCAGAGCCAGGTTTCAATCTTTGGACCTAGCATGCTTTATAGAGAAATGTTCTAATGAGACAATTAAGAAATGAAAATTGAAAAGATTTAAAATGGAAGAGATAAGGAAGAGAGAACTTATGAACTTGAGGACATGCCACATCCAAGATAAGTGCCAAGATTGGATCACCACTTGCTTCTCACATGATAAGACCCAAAAGATGACTTAGAGACAGAATTCTATCTCAAAGAAGATAAGCAAATGAATGCAAATCACTCTTATATTCATTCAATCAAAGGTAAATACAAAGGAGACCCTTAGGTTGCTTATATAGCTTTTGGAATGACTTTGGTGAAGAGTTTCAAGAGATGTGGGACTTGAATGCTCCAAGGTCTGACGAGTCGTGTCCCTAGGTGTTTCTTAGTCCCACATTGCTTAATTCTCTCATTCCAAAAGGATTTATAAGCTTTCTAGCACTCCTAGAGTTCAAAACCGAAAACTAGCTAAGACTACTTGCACTACAAGCTACAAAAGGAGAAAACCTATTTATTCTTCTTTTCTTTTAAGTCCAAGCTATGTGAAATCTCACATTGCTTGTACTATAAAGAAAAGAAGAGTTTATAAGCTTCTCTACAACTAAAAATAATGAAAGAACAAAAAAAGCAAATAGCCAATGAAACCTATTCTATTTTTATTTATGTTTGTTGTCACTTTGAAAGCTCTTCATTATTACCCCATCTATGATCATATCAGAAACTGATACATAATCCATTACATAAACAAAACATGAAGTTAAACACCTCAACCTAAACATTCACCTTCACATTTTCCTTAACATTACATCAACAAAACATACAACCACATCACCCACCTAACATCAACTAAAGCACAACCACAATATTATCAACGCAATCAAAACAAACACAACTCCAACTAACAACTTTATCATTTTCTATAATTCTTTGACATTATTTTCCAAATCACATATCTTCCTCCTTTGCCTCATAATTGTATCATCTCTTTTATCAATGTTGTCTTCAGAACACCACTTAAAAAAGTTACATGACATTCCAATTGAAGATCCACCCTATTATTCACCAAATTAGGCAACAAAATTGGTTCAAAGTTAAGGAATGTATCAACACATAAATCCAAAACACATAAAGTGACTAGGGTATTCAGAAAACCTTGTCAATATCCCCAAAATTGTCTGCCAACATTCTTTACAGTTCTGGCAACTTTCGTTACAACAATATCACCACAGTTGCAAATAGAGGTTATCCCACCTCCCCTCGAAACACCACCATTTGAGGAATGCAAAAATCTTTTGTCTCATGTCTTCGAACAAGAACAACTTTGTGAATAAGTCATTCATAACCCTAACTCTTTGCTCTTAAATTTAGGAACAACAACTTCACTCACTTCAAAGACGAACTTACACAAGTCCTAACCCTTTACTTTTTAACCAATTACTTCAATTTTAACATTTTTCACACACCTTGTTAAGTCATTTCAACTCAGTGTGTCACGTAAGGAATAAATGTACAAGTTATTCAGTTTTCGCCAAGAAAACAACTTTGTCATTAATATTTTTAACGTCATAAATAAAAAAGACTAACGTGAACCTAACATAACATATAATTTCAATATCAAAATACTATAACTTATATTATCCTAGTCACAACCTTACAATACAACATAATATTCAACTCATAACTCAGATCACCACCACTCAGACTATCAAAGTCATAATATTACAATACATCACAATATTAAACTCACGACTCAATCATTTACACGAGCTTCTGTTGTTTCCTTGAATTTTGTCGTACCAAACCTGTTTTGCAAAACAGGTCGATTTGAGTCGTCTTTCATCGCAACTTCATACCTATCTCCCCGACTCCTCAAGGAATTACGAGTAAAAACTTCGGTTAGGCGCACCCACCGAGCACTATACTCACCCGAAGTCATTGGGCGAGACATCCAACCCTCTTTAGTCCCCGCGCACGAGGAAAGGGTGACACTCGAACCTCAGAGTCTCCGTAGAGACTCAACACACTATCGTATCGCAAGGGATGGATGACCTTTTGGGATGTTTTCCCGGAAAATGTGCGAGTGAGAACAAAGCACATTGGAAAGCCTCGTTGTGATGTGTGGGAGCAGTCAATACTCCCTATGAGTTGTCGGGGCGTTACAAGTGGTATCAGAGCCTTGGTTTCAAAAAAAAGTCTTTGGGGCTTTTGGGGAGTGAGCTCGACTAGTACGTTGGCGTAAATTTGATGTTTTTTTTTGTGGTTATTTTTCCTTGCTTATCTTTTGCATTATAAATGATAAGGATGTCGGGACGACCAAGAAATCCTACTCCAATCGATGCTACTGTGGAGCTGGCGCAGGCAATGCGGCAGATTGCTCAAGTTTTGCAAGCACAACAGACACAACAGGCTTAGCAGGCACCCAGGCCGAGAGGGGGTATGAACGACTTTTTACGTCACAGTCCTGCGAAGTTCAATGGCAAGGCAACTCCAGATGAAGCGGATGACTGGATTTGCAACCTTGAGAAGATATTTGAAGCAATCGAGTGCATTGAGGGGCAGAAGTTAGTGTTTGCTACATATATGTTGGCAGGAGAAGCTGAGTACTGGTGGCGTGGGATGCAGAGGAGCATGGATACCCGAGGGGAAGTTGCTACTTGGGAACATTTCAGAGCTAGATTCTTGGAGCGTTACTTTTCGGCTAGCGCTAAGCAGCAACGAGAGTCACAGTTTCTGGCTTTTCAGCAGGGAAGTATGTATGTGCAAGACTACAAGGAGAGATTCGAGTATTTGGCTCGTTTCTATACTCAGAATATGAGCGAGGATTGGAAGTGCAGGAGGTTTAAGCAAGGATTGCGCCACCATCTTTTGAAGGCACTTGTTCACCTGAAGATAAATGAATTTTCAGAGTTAGTGGAGCAGGCCACGATAGTTGAGAGGTTGGATGAGTCTGGGCGTGTGATGAGGAACCAGAAGGGAAGCTTTTCTATGGGCAAGCAACAGAAGAAACCGTACGAGAGGCCACAAGAGTTTCGGTCAGGTTTGTTGAAGTGCTTTGAGTGTGGTGGAGATCACCTCCGAAGAAATTGTCCAAAGCTGAATGACGTCAAGAAGGAGGTGCGGACGTGTTTCACATGTAATAAGCCTGGACATATCTCTCTTCATTGCCCAAGATGTCATTTGGTGGAACGCCTCAGAAGTCAACTAATGGTGAAAAGCCGCAGGCTGCTAGCAGAGTGTTTGCCATGTCGGGTGCAGAAGCCGAGAAGTTAGGTAACCTCAAACTTGATACTTGTTCTTTGTTTGGTAGAAATGTTCATGTCCTGTTTGATTCGGGTGCGACGCACTCGTTTATATCATTGTTGTGTGTTGAGAATCTTGGACTCTCTATGTTTGACTTGGGGTGCGAGCTTATTGTCTCTACTCCAACATCTGGACAAGTTTCAACCAGTTCAATCTGCGTTGGGTGTCGGATCGAGGTGACAGCTCACAAGTCCAGAGTCAACTTGGTGTGCTTACCGCTTGAAGGTCTGGACGTGATCTTGGGGATGGATTGGTTAGCTGATAACCATGTTATGATTGACTGTGGACGTCATAGAGTAGTCTTCCAAGTAGAAGAAGGCATTAAAATGTCAACATCAAAGGAAGTTGTACAAGATCTCAAGAATGGAGTTGTTTGTTTTATGTTGATAGTGAAAGAACAGAAGAAGAGCATAGACGAGCATATCAGTGGAATACCAGTAGTCGAGGAATAT